TACTTCATTTATTCGCCAAATACTTTTAATAGTTTCTTAAAACTAAGGATAACAGCAGCTAATGATTGATATATTCACTGTAATGACAGTCAATGGTTGTTTCAAACAGTGATATTTAATAGACAGATTATAATAAACTATAAATAAAATTTTTTTTCTTTTGTTTTTCTTTTAATGATGAACTATTCGTAATATAAAGTCTTGGTTTTATGATTAACGTTTTTTGGAATGCATTAATGCATTAATCTAAGCTTTTAAGAGCTAAATTATTTGTAGGTGTTATGCCTATTTGAGCATAAAAAGTTTCAAAAGTTTCAAAAAGAAAAAGAGCACGATAAAAATCAGTAAAATTTTTCTGTTTTTATTGTATAAGCAAAAAAAAAGTTATAAATAAGAGAAAAAAGCTGTCTTTTCTATTTGTTACGTCATTAAATTGAAGTGCGAGGCAGAGAGAAACCGAGGGAGATGGGGATTTTAAAACCGCTGTTTAATACATATTGGATATTTGATACCGTCTGAGCTGAAGTCTAAGAAACCGCTGAACAAATCCGAAGTATATTGTGGTATTTGCTACTTCATATAAAATGTTGAAGATTAATTGCCGTAAACTGATTGAAGCGTATATTTGGGAAACGATTAGTGACGATGAATCAGTCCTGATGAAGTATCAAGTATGATGACAAAGTCTTCCATCTACAACCGTATAATTATCGACAACATCAATGATTTTTTTTTGTTATGCTCTTAGATATGCCTAGGCGATTATCGAAGACTTCGCTAGCATCGATTCGGTCATTTGAATATCAAAATTTGTTTAGCAGCAGAATCAGTTTAGCAGAAGCAGTGCTATTCTTGCTTCTAACATCTAGTTTAAATTTTTTGTTAAAAACTATAAACTGTTTTTTCTTTTTTTTTTTTTTTACGGTAATGCAGCTGATAACTTTATGTGTTATTTTACACGTTAATAATTTGATTACTGATCATTATTGCCATATAAATATGTTTTGAGGTTTTAGAAAATTTTTTGACTAAAAAGAAGAAGAAACTATTATTTCATCATCATTATTATTATTATTTTTTGTTTTACCGTAACTGTACTGTAAAAGTAAACAAATTTTTGTCATCGATCTGAGGGCA